TACAAAACCTTTTACCAAAACTGAAAAATTCCTACAGTCTGACTATATTTAATTGTGTTATTTCACTAAACATGTACTTTCACTAGAAGTTATTCTTGGGTAACCAGAGAAAGGACTTTAATTTTGGAGTATTAGTGACCTAATCACCTACAAAGTGATTTCCGAGCTTAGATTTGTGACTTGCCTTTCAGCTTGGACCACAACCTCACCTGATGGGCTTGCTGAGAGGGATGCTGTCTGTATATCAACAAGAGATATAGAAATGTGGGTTGTACCTTGTATAAACAGATTTGCAATCCTACATGTGTAAATGTGCTATACATGAGAGGATTCTTTTAGAAGTTTGACCTTGATTATAAATGAATGGGGAGAAATGCTGGTTTACTGAAAATGCGTTATTTGAATAAAACATTGTGTGCAATATGACAGATTTTTATACAAAGTTAAATACATTAATTGCTTTTACCCCCTAGGTTTGTTAAGTTAGGCCAGTGAAAGAAATCTGAAGTAACTCCCTTCCAGGCCAGCAGGGCTTAAGGTGTATTGTCTCTGATGGGGGGGGGGGGGGTTGCCTCACACATCTCCTCTCCTCCAGGATTGTATGTTCAGAAGTAATAACTCTCCCCCCCTCCACCCCCAATTTTCATTGAAACCCTGAGGCAGGTTGGGAGTAAGTTGTAGATGGGATTGAGGGGAGGGGGTAGAATGACATTTGTTTTGTGTTGCCTACTAGAAGTTGAATGGAATTGGGTTTTACTGATTATTTCTTTTGATCACTTAGTTAAGTGTTTTCAAGCCTCTTAATAAGAACTTCATGGAGGTTGTGTTCCTCTCATCTTTGTCTTTGGGCATTTTTGAGAATGAGATTGAAATTAAATTTTAAAATGTACTTTGAGAAACTAATACTGTAATATCAGGAGTACAGTTGAAGAAAGTCCAGCTTGATAGAGGTATTTTTTAAGTTCATGTATGACATTTTAAAGCTAGATCTGGGGACCTACATTTTCTGTTTGTTGCAGAATAGATTGCCAAACGGATGCCAGACTTGACCTGTATTCACTTTATAAAATTTCATGGATGTTGACAAATTTCTTGCTTATATAAAACATCAAAATAGTTACCTTTCCTATGTACAGTTTAGCTTGATTACCATTTTTTGCCATTGTTACAAAGCTTTAGGCAAAAACAGCTATAAAGTGATAAATCCGAGGACTGTAGTGTTGGAGCAAACATGAAAAACCAGGTCTTTGGTTCCTTTGGGGGCTGTGGCCATTTGGTTGAATGAAGGATGAGCAAGGGGGAAGCTGCTTTCAGGTCCACATAAATTATTGGCCCTGGGGAACCAGAACTATCAGGGTCCTTGAAGACCAGTCACGAGAACTGCCCAAGGTCACCCAGGTCATGAGTCAGGAACACTCCCAGGCCATCAGAAATTGGGGGAAGGAAAAGATCCTGCATATGCCATTCATCTAATGTTGTCTATAGGTTAGTTGCTCAGGCTCCAGTAATGATAAAATGTCTGTACTTTTGTTTGAAACAGATCAGCTGTGCTAAAGTACCTGGGATCTCTTGCTATGTATATACATACCTATGTGGGCCAACCGCCCTTCCAGTTTACACAAGTCAGACAGACTTGTGTCACTTGAACTACAGATTCATGAGGAAAGTGAGGACCAGGGGATTCAAAGTCAGAGTCTGGGTCTCCCAGCCTATCATTCTGCCAGTATCACATTCACCTGGTGTTGCTGGTTATACAGGGCTATAGGCACCTTGATAAAAGAGAGAAAAGTCTGGGTCCTTTCCCCAATGCACTCGATGGTTTTGAGCATCACAGTGACCTAATCACCTACAAAGTGATTTCTGGAGCTTATTAGGTTTGTGAGTTATCCTGTGGTAAATCCCAGATTAATGGATCTTGGGAACCCGTCTAAAACTCATGGGTTTGGACTGTGCTGGAGAATAAGAAGGATGTGATGGGACTAGTGTAAAACAGAGGACTTTGAAGGAAGAGAAGCTTAAATGATAGTAAATATTTGCCGGAAGCCATAGAGAGTCACTGCTGATCTCACTACCAAAACTTTACCCTTCTATAAAGTGAAGATAATATTTATCTCCTTCACAGGGTGGGATAATGAGAATTCATTTTCTTGTAAAATGCTTTGAAGATTAAAGTCACTACATAATATGATGTTAGCAATGGCAAATTATGCGGATTGTAATGGGAGAACTGTAAGTCATTAAGAGCTGCATTTTTATTCACTCGGAATCACCTCTACTCTCATCTCTACTTTACTGCTTTAGTGGCATGGGGAGGAGAAAGAGTAGGATAAAATCCAGCATTAGTACATAGGTACCGTGTTCCTTGCTATTTGCCCTGGCATCATTATGATAATTTTCCACTGAATTTCTCTGAGGAGCAAGTCACATTATTCACAGAGTGGCTGTCATAGCAGTTAGGATAGAAGAAGCCTCTTTTTCAGAAAACTGAGGGAGCTCATTCCCCTTTTGTTCAAGGGAGTATCAGTTGAATGAGCATCGAGTTAGTGTTGACAGCCAATGATGCTGTTTGTAGAGTCCTGCTCCAAATCCATTGTCCTGGTGCTCTCGATGGGGTGCCATGGGTTGAGAGAGAAGGATAATTAGGGCTGAGAAAGAGGAGGGTAATTAGTGTCTTGTCTGAAAGAAGTTATGCTCATGATTGGGAGGAAACTGAGTGATATATACCCAGGGTCTCCGTACATTACTTCCCTTAACTCCCCAATTTAGAAAGCGGGCAAGAAGTGTCTGACTGCGAACAGTTTAAAGTCTTTGACCTTCGATGCCACCTAGTAACAGAAAGAAGATGTCCTAAAACTATGCAGGAATCATAAGACTTGAGCCTTGAGCAAAACACAGCTTTGCCTTTTTTGGAGTGAAATAAGAGTAGTTTGATGAGGAGAAGCCCAGCTGTGAAAAGGGGAGTTTCGGTAAGCGAGTTCTACCAGACTCAAAACCCCACCTGTAGAGACAGTCAGCTGAGTGAGCAAAAGCAGAAGGGTCAAGTGGGGATGATGAGAGGAAAAGCATTTCGAAATTCTTCATCATTACTAGATCGAGGAAGCGCTGGCCATTTTACATGCACCACAAGGTCCAGAGCTGGTACATTGAGGAATGAGCTGCAGAGAGCTTTGCATCGGGAATTAGGAAAAGCTTTTCTTTTCGGGTCTTAGGAGTCTAGAACTGGAAGGGGCTTTAGAGATCGTCTAGTTCCACCTTCTCATTTTTTGTAGTTAAAGAGGTGGTGGCCCAAGGAAAAAGTGACCCGACGCTGGCTCTGGATGGGTGCTTCCTGCCTTGTGATATGGAGAGTAGTTCAACAGTACTCTCGGGTGTTTCTTACTCTCAACGTCCCTGACCTACAAATACGTTTTAGAAGAAAGATTCTAATTTTTTTTTGGCTTTTAATTAATTTAGTATACAAAATTCCAACCAGGTTGCTGTCTTGAAATTTTAAAAACTCTGTATTTTTTTCCTTTCCTTGAATCCTAAGGTCCTCATTGACAATTTTTTGTTGAGATTTATTTTCTCTTTTTGCCCCCAAGTTCTTGTCTTATTTTAATATTTCATATTACTTGAAAGCTAGATTTGAATTAGGAGCCAAAAGTCTTGAGTTCAAGACCTTGAGTAAGTCACTTAATCTCTTTGGGCCTCTGTTTCCTTATCTGTAAAATGAATGAGTTGGACTCAATGGCATCTAAGGACCTGAAGTAAACATTAAATGCCAGAGAATTGAATCAGGGACGAGACTGAGATGAGCATGAACAAAATGTGAAGAGAAGGAGAAAACCTTTCCTGTTTGTATTTCGTCCAGAAGTAAAACATCCATCCATAAGGGTGTGGCCAACTGTCTGTGCCCTGCTGGTGGTGTTGTGGTAACTCTGCTCGTTCTTGGGAAGCTCACTGGACAGACAGATGTCCACCTTGCCTCTGTGGCTGCCCTCCGTGGCCACACGTTCTCTTCTTGGGGATTCTTTTTACTTTGGGGCCATTGAGGTTAGAGAGACTGCCCAGAGAAAAGAACCCATTTGAGTGTGTCCTCCCGCTGGATTTCTGGTGGACTCTTTTGCCTTTTAACCTGTCTTCTAGCATCCACTGGTAAAAGTTGTAGAATGAAACTGATAGGCATTTAAGAGCTTTTCCCATTCAGTATCTGTGAACTGAGAGGACAGAAATGCTGGCATTAACTAAGAAGTGAAAGGGACTCCTACTATCCTCTGCCCCTCTGATTGAAGAGGGGAGCCATGAACTCCTGGAGGAAGCCCAGCTTTGAACAGTTCAGACCCTCATCACTCACCAGGCTATACTGCTCTGCTCTGGATCTTCTCTGCCAGACTCCTCCACTGCGTCCCCTTTCCTGCTTCTTGTCATGATGTGTCTTCTGTTAGATTGTAAGCTCCTTGGGAACCGTGACTGTCATTCTTCTCTCTCCCTCCCCTCCTCCCCCCACCCTGGTCATTTTTGTGTCCCTAGAGCTTAGCACAGTACCTGATAACATAGTAGGCGCTTAATAAATATTTATTGACTGAAATTAGTGTCCTTTTGGCTTACTTTTTAAAAAGCCAGGAGTGTCAAAAATAGGGAATTGCTATCTTACCCTTAATTTCAGCCCAGTGATGCTTCTCTAGTTGCCATCAGTGAAGTTGCTGGGGTGTATTTGAGAAAAGGCGTTTATCTTTAGAGGGTATAAATGTTTGGCCTTCAGGTATCTATTAACCTTAATCTGGTTCCAACTCTGTCCAGTAGGAAATTGGCAGAAACATGCATGAAACCTAGATGTGTTTTGTTCTGCCACCTTAGAGCAACAGACTAAGTGTTTTGATGGGTCTAAGTTGTCAGAGAATGTTCAAGGGCTCTGAGGCTCATTCTAGAGCTTAACAAGTTAGGGCTCTGGTCTTTCATGCCGTTCTAAATCGCCTTTCCTTGTCTTTTTCTTTTCCTTTCTCTCACTCTGTCTCCTCTAGGGTAACCAGGAGCCAACAGCCACTCCTGACGCCATGGTTCAGCCATTTACCACCATCCCATTTCCACCACCTCCACAGAATGGAATTCCCACAGAATATGGGGTACCACACACTCAGGACTACGCAGGCCAGACCAGTGAGCATAACCTGACGCTTTATGGAGGCACACAGACGCATGGAGAACAGAGCACTAACACAGCCAGCACGCAGAACGGAGCTCTGACGGTATGTGACTTAGGAGGCAGGGTGTCTTGGGGAGGAACACTGCACTTCATTGCTGTCACGTGTAACCTGGGAAACCTTACACATTTCTCACTCTTCAGGATATGTGCATGAAATAGCAAGTTAGATTGTCTTCACAAAGCAGCCTGGGTCATTTGCCTTTTCACTCTGTTTGTTCTAGGCTGTTTCTCAGGAACATACCAAATGTATCCATTTCTTCATAAATCACTAAACAAATAAGCATGCTTGTTTCCTCAGTGAGTCTGACTCTGGGAATGGCAGACATCTCATTTCTAGAATATTTTGAGTTTTACAAAGTGCTTTTCTCAAAACTATTTCTATACAAGTTGTGCAGGCTGCAGGTGAGGAAGCTGAGGCACAGAGAGACTTAAGTGACGTGGCGCTGAGTCAAACAGTTGATAAGTGTTATAGCTGAGACTCGAACCCGTGCCTGGCCTCCCATAGCCAGCATTCTTGCCCCTCTGCTGAGCCACCTCTGGTTGAGGCTTTAGGCTTAGAAAGAAACAGAGCTTAGAGACATGGAGTCTAGTTTGAGGGCTGTCGTTACTTATTTTTCTTATGAAAACTGTTGACATTTTCTGAATCTGTAATTTTAAAAGTAAGCATAAGTAATCATAGTCTTGGGTGGATTGAGCATTTCTGAGTTTTGATTGACTCAAGTAAGGTTAGCAGCAAGTTATGTGTTATTATACTTAAAAGTATGTGACAGTTTATTTTCCTGTAGTATAATTCTAGAGATGAAGATGTCATCACATAGCTGCCATAGACCCAGTTCTCATTGAAAATTGTTTTATTACCTTCTCCGTAGCATGGATTACCCACTAACAGATTATCCCAATGAGGGCTTTTATCCAAGTCCTAAGCCACTTGTTAAGATTTAGACTCCTAATAAAGAGCCTAGGGTGAAGCTTCTGTTGCATGGGGATGAATTTAATCTGCTAATGCTTTCAATTTTCTTTTTCCTTGATGTTGGACAGAATAGGAACTTTTTTACATAAAAATGCTTAACATTGTGCCCTTCCCTTTCAACCAACAATATTTCAGCACACAAAGGAGATGATCTTTTCTTGTACTTCTCTAATAATACTCCAGTGAATCCATGACCTCCCTCCAGATCTTCTCATCCTGTGTTTTCCATGTGTCTCCACAGAAGGTTAATTTATTAATGGTCTCCTATATGCAAGGCACTACATTAGGTACTGGAGTGACAAAAACCACCTTCTCCCTATCCCACCCCTACTGCCCCCCAAAACAGTCTCTGCCTTTAAAGAGGTGACGGTCTACCAGCCTAGCAGGTTTGGAATTATTAATAATGTTAAATAAAAATCTTTAAGCCTTTCCTTTCTATAAAGAACACAGATCTGTTAATACACCTTTATAGCATCTCTAGAAGTTGAGGTACAAAATCACCCAGCATAATAGAAATCTCTGGTTCTAAACTGTATAGCTTCACAAATAACATAACTACAGAAGGATAGCATAGGGTCTAAGGAGCCTTCCAGCTTTACTGCACATATTCATGAGTTCATTTAAACTGAACTCTTGGCAATTTAGCTGCTCCTTGATCCTAACCTATGGTTTCCCTCAACTGTGTGTTTGCATGGGCTTACTTCCCCCACCCACTCCGTGCCTAAAGCAGTCTTTTCTTTTCCAACTTTTAAATTCTTTCTTATCCTTCAAAGTCGAGCTTCGGAGTTATATTCTGCATAAAGCCTCCCTCCTTAGCCTCAGTTAAAAATCTCTCACTTCCTAGATTGTCCTAGAGCAGTTTGTCTGGATTTCAAACTCTACCTGGTATCATATTTATTTGTGCACAGTAACTTGCTTCTCTACATGTGCAAGCTTCTTGAGGGCAGAGACTACTTTTTTATGTTTGTGTCCTGTGTCTAGCATTGGTCTTTATAGTTACTAACAATTTGTTGACTTGACATCATTTGAAGACTCATTTGAAGATGGTAGATTTTGAAGCCGTGGAAGTGGTGGTTTGGATAAATTCAATTGAGCATGACTTACTTCATTACCAGGGTTATGAACACAAGCTGCATTGTTGCTGTACTTCCAAATAACTTTTTTGAGTGGTCATTAACCACAAACCAATCTTTGTTTCCATTTCAGCAGAAAAAGATAAGAATCTAAAATAAATTCTGAGGCTCCTATGTAGTCTTAGAAGGGATTATTCATCCCTTTGTGCATGTTCCCACTGACCCCCCCCCATTCCTCCATTCTTTCCTGTGCTTTTCTTATTCATATTATTATACATTGTGGCTGAGACAGCAACCCATGTTTGTGTGTTTCTGATAGCAGTGAATAACGTAAGCTCTGACCCTTGACAGAAACCTCTGCCAAGCCTTCTGATCATCTTCCATATTAGGAGACATTTCCTTGAGCTCTGTCAAGGAGCCCTGCGTTATGTCAACCAATATGTGTTGTGTCAGCTCTTAAAAGAAGCCAATTGAATAAGAATAGGAATCTGTGTGCATGGACACTGGGGTTTTGATGGTGATAGGAATAGCTCAGGAGAAATGGGAGCCCATGTGACATGACCATAAACAGAAAGGGAGCATAGCTGCTCTAACTGGAAAGTTAGGTATTATTAGGAAACCACAGAAGCTATAATAGGGCATCATTGAGACACTTGAGTTGAAGATTATTTTTTATTTATCAGAAATAGCATGAGTAGAGTGGTAGGCTTAGAATCAAGAAAACCTGGGTTCAGATCCCACCTCTGACACCCATCAGTCTTTGACCTTGGGCAAGCCGCTTAACCTTGATGAATCTCAGTTTTCTTTGTACTGTAAAATTAGGGATTGTAATAATACCTCCAGTACTTACCTTACTTAGAAGCTTGTTGTGAAGATCTTATGAAGTCGTGTAAGTAAAGTGCTTTTAAATACGTGAGAGTACTTTCTAAGTGATGATGATGCCAATGATGATGTTATACTTCCTGTTAGCAATGTTGTCAGCCTGGGAAGTGAATCAGCATTAGGAGACCTGCGGTGCATTGTTGATCACTGAGTTGAGTAAATCAGTGAAAATTTCAGTATCTCATGTTACATCTGTAAAATGCAGATAAATAATGCTTATAATCAATAATGTCTAAAATTATCCAGTGAATGTTAAACTTCCTTATCTCTCACTCCAAATAAAAGCACAGCACAGAGACTTTCATTTCTCCTTAGACAAATAATGTGAAGTAAATACAAAGTAATATTCTTTATATTTTATAAAAACAGTTTGTCCCTTGTTAGACAACAACTGTAGAAAGATAACTGGCAATAGATATTTCAAAAATAATCCCCAAGAGACCATCTCTGTTGACTCCTGATGATAGCCTTGGTCCACATTGTGAAATCTGGAGGAATTGTACTCATTTCATGGAATTTGATTAGGAGATGAAAAGCAGTCTGGTTGTCCCGAGCGTTAGCTGGATGGCTTCGAGATCTCGAGTCAGGCTTGCTGTTCTGGCAGAACGGCTCCTTGAGGGCAGGGCCAGGGCCATCCTTATTATTGTTCCTCTAGCACTTTGTGTATAGTAGATGCTTAATAATTCATTTCAATTTAGTAACATTTTAAGGCAACTACTGTGTGCACTTGCTTGTACTGGGGACATAAAGACAAAAAGAAACAAGCAGGTTCTGCCTTCAAGAAGCTTTTGTCAGAAGATGGAGGAAATAGAAGGAAATTCGAGGAGGTGGAGATCATTAAACACTAGGCACACAACAACAAAGCTTCACAACATCCTGCCTAAGCTGCCTTTTTGAAAGATAATGCAGACTCTGAGAGGCAGCAGTGGGGAGGAGCACCTTCCATGGGGAAGGCTTGTGTGAGTCCATAAAAGTGAGAGATGAAATGCCCAGGTGTCACAGTAACAGCATTTCCAGGTAGAGAAAAAGAAATGGTCATGGAATTGGAATTTGTTAACATTGAGCCAGGTACACAATGACTCTTGAGAAGGTTTTTCTCCCCCTTTCGGCAGTCCTTCCCTGTTTTGCAGTGTTGCAGGGCAGGAAGTACGCTCTATCCTGGCTGAGGTCATACCAGGGGCTGCCAGGATGCTCCAGGCTGGTTCGACTGTGACAGCCCTTTCACCCCTTAGCACTTCCCCTGAAAAGAATCTTAAGGCTTTAAGACAGTTTAAAATAGCTCAGCCTCACAAAATGGGCAGTGGTGTGCTGTAGAAGGTGGCATTTCACCTTGCCCAGAATGCACTGAGAGAACTGTGGTGGTTCTTTTAGGGCCTGCTATAAAGGTACAAAATGCTTTAAAAGGTGCTCTAACATGGGTCCTCTTTACTCTCGCATGATCCTGCACCAGCATATGTGAGGTATCGTACACCCTCTTGAAGTAATTCCTATTCCTGTGCATCTGTCGTGCTGTTTGTGGTCCTGATGCAGGCTTGCACAAAACTAGCTTGTGTGCATCTTTATTGACAAATTATACAGAGCCAGTCCATCACAGCCCTTTGAGCAGCTGCCTTTACTTTCTTCATCCACCAAATCAGGCAGCTCACCTCCCAGGGCAGTTGGGATCAGGGTCACTGAGACCATGGAAGTTACGAGGCTTTGGGAAATCCAAAGGCCTCTACTAATGAGCCCCTTTATTTTCCGTCAGTCCAGTCTCTACTGATGTTGCTAAGCCACAGCTATGTTCTTAACATGGGACTTGGTTGTTCTTTTCTCTCACATCTGCCTTTTCATACAGCACGAGATCCTCACTACTTGATTCACTTTCCTTGAGTGGAGGCCAGAATTGGGTGGTCTGCTCTTAAGCAGCACTGTAGGAGTTTATTTTGGTGCCCGAGGAGGAACCTCTTCCTGTGCAGACAGTGAGCTGGGGAGGGAGCCCTTCCTGCCTTGGTGGCTGCTTCCCAGACCCTATAGTGGCTTTGCCCATCCCTGAGCACTAGGTCACCAGGCAGTACAGCCCCAACTGCTGGGTAAAAGGCTTCTTCAGGACCCTCTTTCTTCTTAGGGAGCAAAGAA